ATTAATTAGTATACTGATTAGTATCAATGAATTATTATGTAGATACAGAGCCTAAACAAGTTCCGGAACTTATCAAGTAAGATCGATCAAGGAAAGATAACAGATCGATATTGACTAGTGAGGCCAGGTGAGTGCGTACTATTAGAATATACGTATTGTATATGGAAATTTGACTTGCGACAAGTCTGTTTCCAATATGTTGAATATATGATTGTATGATTATGTTTGATATTACATGAATATGTTTAGTTGTATTACATGTTAGGTGGTATGAATTTATATGATATGTGTTATGGCAATTATTTATGTATTATAGGAATTAGATGAGTTATATGAACCTGAGATATAAATTATAGGAGCATGAACTATGTAAAATAGCAATGATTATATGATAACAAGAAAAGGATATAAATACATGAGTTAGATATATATATACATATATATAGGAATTTGTATAACCAACTTATGAGATTAGATGAAAAGTGAGATAAGTTAAATAACATTGATTTATAGGACAATATAAGAATAATATAAATGAGGAGACATTGACAGAAGTGATTATATGAACATGTAAAATAAGTTATATGGAGAGGATATATGAGCTGAAATGAACATTTAATACATGAGTCATATGGTAAAGATTTATGAATCTATAGGAAAATGTTATGGGAACTATGTGATGATAAGTTATGAGAAAATATTTATATAGGTAATAAGCTATGTGAAATTGAATTAAGTAATATATGAAACTAGAATATAATTAATGTGAAATAAGTGATTAGGTAAAACTGTGAGAAGTTATAGGGCATTGTTATTCGAAGTATATGAAAGTATGTATATAGATACCTGTATAAGTTTATATGTTATACTATGTGCTATGTGATATACTTGATGTATGAGAATCATATGAGAATAAGAGATGACAATGAGTTACATGCCATATGAACACAAGAGAAGTGTTATAAGCTACGTGACAGATGATTATGAAATCATATGAAAAGTGAAATGTACATGTGAATATGTGAAGTGATATGAATATAATGCCCATGTTATATGATACGAGAGCTATAGGTATAGTTGGCATGCCAAGAGTCGAGGGTTTTACCTATGTCTTTCGAGACATATGGACAGTATACCTATGTTCTAAGGAACATATGGACAGTTTACCTAGGTTCTTTGGGACCTATGGACAGTTGCCGAGGTTCTTTATGACCTCTGGATAGTTACCGGGGTCTTTGTGACCTCTGGATAGGTCCTTCGAGACATTGATCGAGCTTTGGTGACAGTATATGTGTGCACAACCTCAATATACTCACATACCTTAAGTTCTCACTAGTGTACGTGGGCTAATAAAGAGATTAAACAAACATACTGAATGTGATATGTATACGATGGGTTTATAGATGGTTATCAAAGGTAAATGGTTTGAAATGTGTTACATGAACCATATGATGTTATGTATGTTTCTTAATGATAATGATAGAGATTATGATAATGATGGTATATGTTTATGTATGCTTTATGTTATATGAAATATTATATGTTTTATATGCCTCACTAAGTCAACGACTTAGAGTGTGATTGTTTCACACATAGGTTACAGAAGTGAGAAGAGTAAAGAGCAACGTGGAGCAAGACAGGTCAGTTCTTCTTACCAAAAGTCAGATCAGAAGAAAGACAAATAATATGTATTTGAATACATAAAGTTCTAGTTGGCATGTATTCAAGATAATATATTGTATAAGCTCTGAATAGTTCGATAAAGGTTTTGAATAAGTTATATGTAATAATAAATTTTAAATTACTCAGTATTTTATACAAGTAAAGGTTTTTGAAAAGTCCATGTGGCACTTCGGACTCGGATCCGGGTCGCATACGGGTTGGGGGTGTTACAAAAACAATCATCTTTCTTGATACGAATAACTTTTGTGTAACAATCAACTGCTTTCTTTACCAACTCTTCTTTCGGTATCTGAAGTAATTCTGGCATATTCCAGTTATACTCCCGTGGCATTTTTTTTCTTCGGGGACTTTTTCTTCTTCTTTTTTCTTCAGGATTATATACAGAATGGATGTTCAACATGTTCATTCACAGTCGTAACTTCCCTCATTATCATCAACAACATCTTCCTCGGCAACGACTGTTTCATCATCAAAATTTGGGTATTGACCAATATCAAAATCATTACACGCAGTGTATGTTTTCTTCTGAAACATCATCAAAATCCGAGTATTGACCAATATCAAAGTCCGGGTATTGACCAAGATCAAATTTGAATACTGACTAGTACTCACAATTTTTCTGTTGGCTCATCATCGTCTAATTGGTCAATACGAAAACCGGAATTTGGTGCTGAAAGTTGATTGGGATTTGGATTAGAGAAAGGTTGTGGGTTTTGAGAAAAACTTAGTTGATTACTACCCTACTGACCCAATAATACTACTTTAGGTTCAACAACATACAATGTAACATCATCACTTGAAACACTAATGTAAGCAATGAATCGTTCAACATCTTCATTGTCGGTTAACAAATAAACTTTACCATTTCTCTGATAAGATAACCTAAATCCACTTAGGGGCTCTAAATTCAATTTCTTTGAAACACGTAACATTAGAGTTTCATAAGTTAACTTTTTTAATGACAGTTTTAGTTAAAGATTCATGGGTAAAGGCATATATTGTAAAACATGAACATTCTCTCATGACCCTCCAAAACATAAATCTATCCAAACATGATCAACATTAGATGATTTCATGGTTGTAAATTAATTTACTAAACAAACGAGCTGCGAAACTAAGACCTGTTGCCGGATGGGGAAAGATGTAGGAACGGATATAGGAACGGATGTCGCCGGAGAGAGTGATAGATGGAGATGGAATGAGTTGCGATTTAGGGATTTAGGTTATGAGTTGTTGTTGCTGCGTAGATATATACCCAAAAAATTTGTGTTGCGAAATTAAAACCTATTGCGAACTTTGAAAATCGCATTGCGATTATGTATTATCTCGTTACGATAGTCAGAATCTCGTTGCGAAAGTCAGAATCGCGTTGCGAAAGTCAGTATCGCGTTGCGATTTGTATTATCGCGTTGCGATAGTCAGTATCGCATTGCAATTTTCCAAATTCGCATTGCGATTTACTTATTCGCATTGCGAATTGGGAAAATCGAATCGCAACGCGAAATTGGAAAATCGCATTGCGATTGACATAATCGCGTTACGAATCTGGAAATTGATTTGCGATAATGGAGATCGCGTTGCGAATTAGCGTTGCGAATTAGCGATCGCATTGCATTTTGTTGGTCATTTTGGCAAATCCGGAAAAAATTGGTTAAAACGTATATTATATTGGATTTTTGGTAACTGATGTTATTTTCTTATTTTAATTTTACATAGATTTGTATAATTTTAAAATATAGGATATAATCCTATTACAAAATATAAAACTTTTTAGTTTTACACATATTTAGGATCGTTGGATGAGTGAAAATGAATGATTAAGATTATCAGTAGTAAATAATAAGATATTCATTGAAAAAAACAATAGGTCAATCTCATATATTTATTTTCACTCGTCCAACGATATTAACCCTTAATAATTGAGATATTTTAATTACATTCGACTTGGTTACATCTAATAATTACAATAATTATCCAACACATTTTAAATAATTCCAGATGAGATTATGCCTTCCTTCTATTTATTTATAGGTATCCACTTTTAGAAGTTCACAAGTACATTTAGAGATATATTTATAGGTACAATCACAAAGAATACATGTCCAAATAATTATAACTTTAAATTAACATGAATAGATTGAAAAAGGAGTGTATATTGACGCAGGAAGGATTTATTAAGACTTGTCATTATGCATCCGTAGGTTTGATCTTAACCTTGAACACAAATTCAATGTAGGAAGGCATATATTCATGTGGCCACAAATCTAAGTAAAAACACAATTACCCGCCATGCAAGGAGTGTCTGATTGTGACACTGTAGACTGCATTTATTTTTTATTTTACTATTACATTTCTAAGTCGGCTGTTTCTTCTTCTTCTTTTTTAATGAATTAGCATAAAATTGGTTATTTTGATCATGTTGTAAATTCAGATTAATACTTGTGTTATTATTTTTAATAGTATCATTTTTCTCTTAAACTAATTTAATTATATAAATTTCATCATATGATTAATGTTGATAGCCACGTTATTATTGACACATGGATTGTTATGTTTGTATCGTGAGCTATCATAATAGTATTGTTAACTATTATATGAACATTATAATGAATAATGATCAACGTCGATCAAAGAGTGAAATTAATATAAATAAATAAATTCACAACACAATTAATACAATTAAAAGTAAAAATAAAAGTACTGTTTTGGATTTACTATAAAAATGAATGTTTAGAAGAAAAAAAAATCTTTAAATGTTGACATTCATTAAGATTTATATTTTCTCTTTAGAAGGAAAAGGCCCACATACCTAAAATAAATATAAAAATGAAAATGAAATTTGATTGTATAACATTAGTTCAAGTGTAAAATTTTGAATTGATCAAAAGACGGTTATTGCTGATTTTTTTTTGGGGAAGAAAAACTAGGATACAATACACAAATGGTCACCAAATTATATTTAAATAATCTTTTAGTCACTGATTTTTTAAAAATTATAAAATAATCATTAAGCTTTCAAATAATTTTAAAAGTCATTAAATTATTATCTATCATTAGCTTTTGAAGTCAAATCATTGAGTTTAGTACAATAAAAAGATGGGTTGTTATCTCATATAAGAAGGATAAAATTTAGATAGAAAAATAAAAAGAGAATATAAATATTAAAACGTAAATAAATAAAAGTAAACAAAACGACAAATACAAAGAAGAGCATATATTAAGATTAAGTATATATTTAAAAGGATGGAACAAACAGAGATTTGGGAGTATTCAAATGAGCTCCCCAATGGAGAAGCAGCATCCAAAAGTACTAAAAAATGGTAGGCCTGAGTCGTGGACCCAATAGAGAAATCAACACTTGCACCCCGTTTGAAGCCGACGCACGAGAGCGAAGCACTCTTGGCTTCGGTCAAGAGCCGAAAGCAAACCGGATTCCATCCTCAGCCCTGTCCACTCCCTCTTGGAGTTGTATCCCACGTGCTTCTCTCAGCACGTGCTTGTTTGTTTGAGAAACCATTCAGATATTCATGAAATAAGATATTCTAATTTATTTATATTAACTTCTTATATTTGTCAGTTTGAATGTGTGGAGGGGGCAAATATGTTTGTTATATATAGGGATGGACATGGTTTGGGTTTCGATCAAGCCGACCTGATTTAAAAATTTTATATCCTTCATTTAACTCGACTCGACTCGAAAAATATATACCCTCCACCCGACTCGAACCCACCCAACTTTTTGAGATAAAATCCGAACTCGATCTGATCCGACCCGAAATAATAATACAATATTATTTTTTCAATAAAAACAGTGATTTAATTGAAAAAAATATATATAGAGGTGTATTGTTATAATTATTTCTAAATATAAGATAAAATTATATTTTTCGAGTCGGATCGAGTCTAATTTTTCACCTTAAACCCGAATCTAACCTGACCCGAACTTTACCTTTAAAACATCTTACCCCCCGATCTGATCCCGAAATGAGGTCAAGTTGAAACCCGTCGGATTATATATATATATATATATATATATATATATATATATATATATATATATATATTTATCAAATTCATAGATTTCTTTTTTTTGAAAATGCTCATTTCATATAGAGTTGAATCATTGAATCATCTCAATAATTAAAGAGACTGTTATTATCTTTGAGGTTTTTTGTAAGATGTATGCGTTATTAATATTATAAAATTATAATTAAAGTGTTTCAATAATTAAAAAATTATAAATAAATATTATCATATTATTGTTATAAATTAGTAAAAGAAACAAATAAGGGTATGAGAAAAAAACACGCGATCCGCAAATCTATTTATTAACTAAATTATAATTAAAGCATGATTTACCATTGTTGATTATTTAGTATTATATTTAATTTGCGAACGCAAAATCTATTTATTAACTAAATTAAAATTAAAGCATGGATTTACCATTTGTTGATTATTTAGTATTATATTTAATTTGCGAACTTTCTTGTTATCAAATAATTTTCAATTAAAAATAATAATAAGTACATAATTATATATTTCAATCATTATTAAATTAAATTATAAATAACATTATATCATAATATAAACATATTTTAATCATACTCCAAAATGTAATTAATATAATAAATTTAATTTTAAAAAGTTGACATGAATGATAATGATATATTTATAATTTTATAAAATACATGTTAAATATTTTAAATTTAATTTTACTAATTTTGAGATGAATTTACTTGATTTTATTATATTTTGATTAATTTTATACAGATATTCCCTTTACTTTTCTAAAATAATAATTTGTGTAGTTCAATTGTCTTTCTAGCTACAATGGTTTATACCCACGGGGGACCACGTCACTAATATTAAAGCGTAGAACCAATGAAAACCCCGTCCTCCCAAACGCGCGCGCGTGAAATACACTGAAAAATATCTAAAGCATGAGAACCAAAAAGATGATAGAACCAGAGCAGTGTGGGTCACCCATCTCGTGATCCAAAGGAAATATCAAACGCGTCGTGATTTTTTAGCCACGACACCCACACTTTTTCGTCACCGTAAATCTGTCAATGCCATCCTTTTATATTAACTTCTAACATATAAAAAAAGAGACCAGCTCAGCTCTTTTGCGCTTCACTTATTCTCTCTCTGTCTCTGCGCCTTCTTCTCTAAAGAAAGATACTTTTATTCTCCAAAGAGAAGTGTGGCAGATAATCAAAAGGGTTAGCTTCGTTCGCCAGCTCAATACTTATGTAAGTCCGTACCATAGTACTAAATTGCGATTGCGGTGTTCGAATTTTTAACCGTTTTATGTTATTGCGTTTAGGGATTCAAGAAAGTGGATCCAGATAAGTGGGAATTTGCGAGCGAATGGTTTCTGAGAGGGCAAAAGCATTTGTTGAAGAACATAGCGAGGAGGAAGCATAATAAGAGTCCTTATGTTCAAGTGAAAGCCGAGGATTTACATGACGAAGAAATAGTGATGGAAATAGCTCGGCTAAAGGAGGAGCAGAAATCGTTGGAACAAGAGCTGCTAGGGATGAACAAGCGTTTAGAAGCCACCGAAAGACGGCCGCAGCAAATGATGGCGTTCCTCCACAAAGTCGTCGAAGACCCCGACTTACTTCCCCGTATGATGCTCGAAAAGCAACGGACACGACTGCTCAACGCCAACAAGAAGCCGCGGTTGACCATGATGCCCAACTCATCGTATTCACCATCTTCAAGCGTCGCGGTCTCTTATAACGATTCGGCTAAATCCGAAGAGGAAGAAGACTGTCAGCCGGGAGTCATTTCGTCGCCGGAAATCGGGTTTTTCCCCTCGAGTTATCAATTTTCGCCGTCTCCTGATCAGGATTCGAAAGAATTGTTGGGGCAAAATATACAACTGATGAACTACGGTCGATCCACGGGAACGAGTCAATTACCGGCGGTTCTGCTGACTCCGACGGTGATTGGTAACGGCATGGTGTCTCCGTCGGGGACGAGAAAAGCAGCTGGGTATGGTGATAGAAATGGGCAAGTGGGTTATTTCGGAGAAATGGCGGCGGCATGGGTGGAGCCGCGTCCACGACCGCCGTATCCATTTTCACTATTAGAAGGTGGCTTTTAGTCGGTTGCGTCACATAATATGTCTTGGATTCTGTCTTTAATATACTGATTTTTGCTTCTAGTTTTAGATTTTGCAAATTTGGTTTTCGATTTTCTTTTCTTTTTGGCTTTGTATATAAAAATTATTTAATTATAAGGTTAACAAAAAGTATTTTATAATCAGAAAAATTATAAATTTTTTAAATTAATATACTATATAAATATAATTTAATCTAAAAATAATAAATTTATAGTTTAATCTTTAAAATATTATAAAGTTATAAATTAATATAATAGTAAAACAGAATTGTCAGATAAATTTAAAATGATGAGTTTGAATTATATATAATAAAGGTAGAATTTTAAAAGATTATCTGATTAAAATTTTATCAAATTTAGAAATCTGTTGCTATATATATATATTAAAATCAATTATGAAGAAAAGATTAAACATTATCTATATATCACATAATTATCCGTGATATCAAATTAAAGTAATACGAAGATAGATTATGAGTATAAATATGAAGCCATATGACGACAGAATAACGTGAGGACTAGATCACGTGGGACCCAATATCATTTCGGGCTTTCGGGCCGGGGTAAATGGGGGAGTAGGTCCCATTTTTTGTCAATAATGGAAAGGCAGTGGGTCCAAGTGGCATTTCAAGACTCTTTTGTTTATTTATATATTTAAAACTATTTTCTACTTTTGGATTTGGACACCTCTGCAGCCGCGTGTCAGAGCATCATTGGTGAAAAGGAGCTAAAAAAAATGGGTTTTGGACACGTGTAGTAAAGTTACTGTTGGGATGAGTGTTGACAACTATTTTGCTTGGCATTTTGGGTGGGGTGAAATAAGGACCATGCATTTAGGTTTCATTGTTGTTTCAGACATATTTTATGTTCCAAAGGCCGTGGTTAGAGAAAGCCCACGTTTAGTTACTTTTATTACATTATTATAAAAGTTGTTAATATAAAATGGTTAAATTAATGATGCTTAGGCTTCCAACGTTTATGTTATTTGTTTATATTTGAAGGTGGTTCGATCGCATTGTCCAATATTCTCATCGCTTCTTTACCGGATATGGTATTTCATATAAATGTTTTTTCATCACTTCCGGTTTCGATGCTTTTTTAAGGGATTTAGGCGGCGCCAACGCCGTGTTTCTTCTTCGCCTCTCGGTGGGTATTTCGGTAACGAGTTTCAAATGGGATCACGATTAGGGTTGAGAAAAAAATTAATTCAACAGAAAAATCGTATTGAAGTGTTTGAACGATCTATAAATTTAAAATTTTTAATTACTCAAAAGTCGAAACTGATCCTGATTTGGGCAATGAAAGAGTCACATATGGGCTTCGTTCTTGAAGGTTGGTGGCTTCATTCTCGTGTACTTTGGGTCTAAAAGGCATAACGTAAGGATCCAAAGCTACGGTTTTCTTCCTATTCCTTAATGAACCCAATTTTAGTAGCGAGCCGAGTCCAACTCCCGCGTTGAAAATTTATGAAGCTCACTTTTAAAAAAAATAATTTTATCCCCATATATATATATATATATATATTTAACAATTTCTATCTAGAGAAAAGAAGAGAAATTTTATTCCTAAAAAGTACTGAACACACAACCTATGAAAGAAAAAATGTATCAGATGAAAGTTTTTAACCACTTTGCTCTATAGGTTGTTGACTCATCTCTATTTTTCCTAATCGCTTTCGTTTTGACGAGTTTACCATTAACTGTCTATTTGGGTTTAAATTCTTTGGTATATCAATGCAAGAAACTATGAATTATTCCTCTCAAACCCAAATTTTTACTTCCTTTGCTTCACCAACACTAGAGTATTTTATTTCAAATTTGAACAATAGAGAGGTCGATAAGGAAAAAAGAAGAAATATCTTGATTCTATAATAATAAGACAATTGAAATTATAGATCAAAGAAGAAGAAGAAAAATAGGAGAAAGGAAAACCTTTTTTTTTTATATATTACATTACAGTTGATGATTGGTGACAGTCGAGCGTTGGTGGAAAAGAATTCCAACCATTAAGAGGAAAAATGTTATGAAGTTAGGAGAATTTCATAAATAAAAGTCCTCCAAACACAACACTTAGTGAATAAAACAACAATACATACAATTTTTTTTTTTTGAAAAAGGGTTGCTTTGTTAATTATCAAATCATACAAAGTAAAGACGAACGACAGAGACCTCGTAAAAACATCTCCCTAAACCTATACGAAGGAAAAAGAGTGCATCAAATCGACGCGGATACACCTCCACCATTCAAACACACCTGCCTTGACAGCAAACAGCTGATCAAGCTAACCATCTTCTACTAACCAAGCAGTCCAACAAAACAAACAAAGCAAGGCCACCGGAAAAACCCAACCACCGAATCAAACCGATCAATAACTAACATCCCTGCCACGGAACACCACTGATATCGAAACAGAGAAAACAAACAGAATTAACGCACAACTCCAGTAGCATTGGGACATCTGCAGAAATCAAGCACTGATGGAAAGCTATGGGGCCAGTTACAATTGCACCGAAAGCCTATTCTCAAAATTCTGATCTTCATTGAAGCTTTTAGCATTAAATATCAATTCATTCCTACCAAGCCATATTGACCAAAGGAATCCAAAAAGAGCTAAGATCCACAGGGGTTTGGCAGCAGAATTGCAGCAAAGCTCATACCAATATCATAGTATGAAATTGCGGTTGTGGATTTTGTTGCAAATGCGGTTGTAATGTCACGATTACGGACGTTACGTAACGTGTTGCGGTTGTTGCGGGCGCGATCTCTTCCTCAAAAATCACAATAAGTCTAAAATATTATATTTATATATTTTACAGAATCTTTTAATATATTAATATTAATATACTATTTTAATATTTTATTTTGAAAATAAAAATTTAACTTCAGATAAAAAATTATTAAAAACAAATATAAACCATAGAAGTTCTATCATACTGGACAATGTGTAATAACAATTATAATGTTAATGAATAACATATAAACAATATCACTAAAATTATAATGTTAATGAATAACATATAAACCATATCACTAAAAGTATATCAAATTTTTTATATTGTAACATAAAAATGTTCATTTTACATAACTTAGAAAAAAAGAAAATGCATAACTAATATAAAATTATATATCTTATAGTTTACCACCAAAATGAATGGCTTGACGGATCTAAAACATTTTCATCTTTGTCATTGTCTTGTATTTGATTCCTTCCTATTCCATGTAAAGAAGACATCACATTATGTGCATCATAAGATGTATTATTGGTATGATAAAATTTTATAGTAAAATTTTATAGTAAATAGATTAGATAAAATTTTATAGTTTCATAGTAAATAGATAAAATACATATACTATTATAGTATTATAAAGTGGATTCCTCTCTTATACAAAATTTATATAATAATAAATAAACATATAATTATGATGCTTAATATTAATATAAAAATTTAATTTAAAATTAATCACGCCAATTTTAGATATGAGAAAAATTCAATTTAAATTTAAATTAATTTCATTTTAAAATAACGTTAACAAATACTTTAATTAATTCAAATTTAAGTAACTAATTTTAAACATAACTATTACGATATTATTAATGATATATATTTATAATCCAGTTTTAAGAATTAAATTAGAATAATTCATCTATGTAATTTTATATTTCATATAATTTAAAGTTTGTTGCGGCGTTGCGGCGCAATTTATAGCGTGTTGCGGTGTAACGTAACGATTTTTGACCACAACAATCATAATGCGGTTCTCTTATTGCGTTGCGTCGATATTACGTCGCGGTAACCTTAAAACATATTACGATGTGGCCATTACATTGCGTTGCGGCCGTAATTTAGTACCATGACCAGTATACAACCAGATCTCTAACATTTTCAGAAACCACGAAACAAACCTTCCAAAGCACCACCACCTTTGTCAATGGCCAAAAAAGCTGTTTTCGCATATTAAAATGTAAATAACTTTTACTTTTAAATTTTGTAACTTAATTATTATAACTATTAAAACTAATAAATGTATTTAATAAGTCCTTCCTTAATTTAATTAGAAAAGTGAATAACATAGTTAGAGTGTTAATATAAACAATTAAAATCCAGATCCTATATCACTCATCGATTCCATTGACTTTGTAATGTCAAAAGAAAATCACTCCCAAACTTAATCACCATGCTCAATCCAACTTTCATTTATATTTTAAAAATAGTGCGATCAAAATAGAAGAAATTAAAATTTCGTAATGAACCTATAACATAAATGAACATGAGATTCTAAAAATAGTGCGATCAAAATAGAAGAAATTAATATAAAATAAAAGTGACATTTTTTATAGTTTACCTAACTTTAAATTAAGGGTTAGAAAATTAAATATCAAATTATGTTATAACATACATTTAGTTAAAGCATAGATACCCAATTGGTGCTAGAGGTCACGCCTAATTGGTATAATTTATTTTTTATCAGTTAAATTATAGAATGCGAGTTCAAAAAGAATGTTATTCGGAGTGTTAATTACAACTTGGAATGAATGTTGGTCGTCTAATATAACCAAATTGTTCCCTACATCTCAACAAAATAATTAAAAATTTGGACGGCTAAAACTTTGTATGATCAGTTGTTAATTAATTGTTATCTAAGTTCTGCACTATCATTAATTAAGAAAATTTATTCGTGGTAGCACTGAAAAAGAACTAGGCATACGATTCTCCCCAGGAAGAATTGGGATTGATGTTTAATTAATCAAGTGCCTTTGTTGACATTCTTGTAAGGTGAATCAATCAAAGAATAATTTGCCATTTAAAATGAAACACACAATGTAATGGGTATGTCTGGTGCCAGAAATCCAAGAAAAAGTGCATGCCACCATCATATATTCCTCAAAAATTCATATATTGATCTGAGTATAATATCCCATCATTCATTGCTCGTATTGACTCAGAGCTAGAAAAGCTATACCGACTTTATATTTCCGAGATAATAATATATATTGATCTGACCCTTCACACACCTACCTCACACACAAATTGAATCAAAACCAGTCAT